TGTCCGCTGAAACTTGCTTTTTTTTTTGTGGACCGGGCCTATGAGTTGCTTCGGATTCAAGACTTAACCATTACTTTCTCATGTATGAAGAACATAAGATATTTTCCCTCACATACATAGTAGCATTATTATGAACAAAATACATTCAAATTTAATTTTATGCAACTTGATATGAACCCAAATATGCTTGAGTTCTCTCCATTAGTTCTCTTAGATCACAGGTGTCAAACTCAAGGCCCGGGGGCCAGATCTGGCCCGCCACATCATTTCATGTGGCCCTTGAAAGCAAATCAAAGTTGTCAACTTTCATGATGCTTGCTAAAATCTCAACCAAAATTTCAAATTCTCATTTGTAATAAATAAGACTGATACTGTAAGCATTTTCTTGTTACCAAACCCCTCATTACCATTGTAAATAGCACAGCCACCTTATGCTGTGTTTTCTATGCTATTGCTAATTTATTATATTTATTCTACAAATATATTGCTAATGTGATGTTTTATATTGCACTTATATTGAACTGTGTACAGTTCTTTTCTGAAATATTTATTTTGTGCTGCTGTAGACTGCAAATTTCCCCAGTGTGGGACAAATAAAGGTTATCTTGTCTTATTACAGTAACATAAACAATAGGTAAATAAACCGTTATTCTTGACTTTTTTATATGGTTTCAGTCATAACGGCCCTCCAAGGGAAATTGTAACTAAAATCTGGCCCGCGACAAAAATGAGTTTGACACCCCTGCCTTAGATCTTTCGATACAAACGTGTCAAATTTAGCAAAGTCATAACAAGACACCCACATCTAGGTATAACAATTCAGACTATTACATCTTGTTCCATGTAAATGTGTTTTTTCTCGTGATTGGGTGACATACATTTATTATTTCAAAAACAACATCTGGTCCAACTGTGTCCCTCAGGTATCTTGAATAACACAAATCGGTCCTCAATAAATGTTGACGTAGTCATCACATCATCCTATAAATTTTTAAGAAATGGTACCCTTAGGGGCATGACAATTAAAAAAAAAAGGATTAAAGAATCTGGTGACACCCCTAATACCTTCAAAGGGCATCCAGCTCTACCAAAGCTGTTTAAATATGAGAAGACACTTAACGCTTCATGTGTGTTGCTTCATATTGACTTCATGGGATTATTAGTAGCTTGTTGTCTCTGTACACCAAAGTACTGTAGTGAGAGAGGAAGAGGAATGTTGTGAGAAAACCCAGGGATATAAAGAGTGAACTATCTGAAAGTGCATGTTAGGGGGTCAGGATTTGGCCCAAACAAAGGCACGCCAGAGAGAAGGGACAGAATTAGCTCTGCTTTCTCAATTGGGGGTTTCCCCTTTAATAGCAGTGAGGTGTGACTCAATTTGAGCAATTCTGGAGGGCTGAGTTCAAAGCCTGACAGTGGGAGGAGGGCGTCTGTGTGGGAGAACAGCAGACAGTTAAGATGGGGTTTCTCATTAGCAGTGGCGCTTTGTGTCCTGGCTATCACCGCTGCACACCACTCATTGGCTTTCTGCCCTATAATTCCTCTCCCCGCCTTTTTATCACTAAGACTCAAACTGAAGACATAATATCGGTCCCCCGAGCCCCCAAACATCCCCCTTTATGAGAGTCTGTGTGCAGTCCCATGATTTCTGACTGTACACAAGCTAAACCAGCCAAAGGAGGACACATGACAAAGCACAAAGAAGGCAAGTAACAATTATTCACTGAAGTTACATTGGCATTAGAATAAGGTTCAAACAAAAAATTCCTAATTTTCTTGCAAATATAATAATAGTCACTATTCAGCACAATCAAAATATTAACGCTGCCCCCCGCCCCCATGGGAATTGCAATTCCCTCAGAATATACATATGAAGAGAGCCAGATATTGCCAGACTAAAATCCCAAAGAAAGCAATTATGGACTCTTAAATGATCACGGCACATAATTGCAATATGAACATAACGTGCAAATATAGAATGCCACACTACCATTTAGCCTTCATGCTAAATAACCAGTTAGCGCTTTTTTAATGTATTTATTCAGAATTACTGTTGCTATTACATTACGCATTTTCACTTTCATCTATCCATTCATTTCCTGTACCTCTTTTCCTCATGTGAGTCACGGGTGAGATGGAACCTTTCCCAACTGATTTTTGGGCAAGAAGCACAGCACAGTAGCTATTTGCAGGGCGTATATGACAACCTTTCATGCATTTACACAGGTCTAAGGATAATTTAGAGCAAAGGAGAAAGCCCATATGAGCATGGGGAGAACATGCAAAATCCACACACTGGAGCTGAGATGAAAACCCAGCAACTTAAAACTGTGAGCCTGGCATGCTAACGAGTAGTACACAGTCCTTGCCCTATTTTAAAATCTTCATAGACAAAACATAATATCCATTCATCCATCCATTTTCGAATACGCTTATCCTCACGAGGGTCGCGGGCGTGCCGGAGCCAGCTGTCTTCCGGCAGTGGGCGGGTGACACCCTGAAATGGTTGCCAGCCAATCGCAGGGCACACAAAGACGAACAACCATCCGCGCTCACACTCACACCCAGGGACAATTTAGAGTGTCCCATTAACCTGCCATGCATGTTTTTGGAATGTGGGAGGAAACCGGAGGACCCAGAGAAACCCCATGCAGGCACGGGGAGAACACGCAAACGTCACACAGGAAGGCCGGAGCCGGAATCGAACTCTGCACCTCTGCACTGTGAGGCAGATGTGCTAACCAGTCGACGACCACGCCGCCCCAAAACATTGTATATTAAGAAAATTATAAATGCAGGACTACGCATTATAAGATTGTGTATCCATTTCTATGCACTGACACAACAGTATCAATAGTCCACATTACTAATCACTTAAGTGTGATGATACGACTAAATTCAAAGGATTACAATTCATACAATAACTTACACATCACCTTTTACCAACAAAAATAAATTAGCGTGCTTGTGAAGAAAAAAAACAACACACAAGAATCATAGTTTTGCCCATTAAAAAAAACAGCTTTGGACCGAAAGAATAACTATGAAGTACAATTAGTATTTACGTAGTATAAAACAGGAACTTGTGAAAGTGTGGCGTCGATGGCGCTAATGTGCGGAAGTGACCGTCACGACTCCTTGCAATCAATCCCAAATATTACCCTGATATTTGTCAAAACGGCTCTGTGCCACGCCAGCCATCCGTGACTTGTTCGGTCATTACATCAGAGAGGTCACTCCCACGCCACCCTCTGTCTCCACCATCATTCCTGGGTCTGATGACGGCCTAATAGCCTGCACTCACGAGACTTAAAATTGACCGTTTTTAGAGGCCACCTGCCTGCCTGCCAGCTGGAAGTCCATCATCAAAAGCCACGCTTGTGCAAATGTATAAAGTAAAACCATAAATATACTGTTATGAGTGTGCATGTAGCTGAATCAAGCTGATACAGTACACTGATGAATCGTCGTGGATAGAAGGTGTGCCCATAATGGCTGACAGATGCTCCACTCTGCAAGTCGAAAGTGATTGCATCTAACACCCAATCATGGTTGACCCCCTGGCTATGAAGCTGTCTGACAGCGGCGCTCATCTCAAGTCCACATTTGCATTAGATTTCCATGGAGCTGAGAAATGATGTGAGCGCTTCAACAGTTTGTTGAGTCTCCTCCTATGGCTGTTAGGATCCAAAATCATTTTAGAGGTACATGTTCCCCGGGGCCAAATGGATAGTTATTTTGTCTTTGCTCAAGATGAGAAGTAAAAAAAAAAAAAGCATCATGATCGAATCATTGTCAGATTGCTCGTGTCATCTTTTTAAACAATAACCTGCAGCTAGACGGGCCACTGGAGCTATTGCTCAGAGAAAGCGTAACCTGTGTCTCCTTCAGCTACACCAGTGCCGTTAAAGACGAAATCAATAATTATTATCATAAAACCAAAATATCATGTAAGGGAGGAATTGAATCACAAAGAATGCAACCAGCAGTTGATACCAAACAACCTTATACAACAGTATATGCCCTGCAAAAGGCATCTCTTGAGTATCTTTAAACCTGCCAGCACTGTACCAAGAGGAAAGCACAGTAAATAGATTGCAGGGCTGCAAATTGAATTTCAGGGCATGACTTGACTCGAAACACCTAATAATCCCATGTCACTCAATGTTCTCACACTGAGAAAGGTGACATTGGGGTAGAAGAAATAGAAAAGACAAATCAGAATCTTTTTCATGCATGTCGTTTCCATAAAGGCAATGCATTCAGGCTTCTGCTAGGTGGCCCGGCGACCCATTTCAAGGACAAGAAATCAATTATAACAAAAGAAAGCAACTATGGTACCTTTTCCCACTGACAAAGGCGCACACATTAGAAGCATAGTAGAAGATAATGCTTAAAAGAAATTAAAAATAATGATGTTCATGGCCTACATTCAAAAGTAACAAAACAGAATCTCTCTCTCTCTCAATATATAGTCGCTGTTGGTGTAGTGGTACACTCGCCGATGAATATATATTGAATTGTCCTGTTGTGCATGTCTTCTGTTATTCAGCTCGTTGTTATGCTGTCCACCTTGTTTCTTTTTTCTTCGATACAAAACACTAAGTTTCAGATAATTGCTGGAAAACAGCTGCAGAAAATATATTTCTTTTAGCACTTTCGGCTATGTAATATTATATTAATAAGTTCATAAATAAATGTCATTTTTTTTAAAAACCCTCCAGCTAATTAAAAAAATGTTTTGCTTCCTAATTACTACATGCAAATACCAAACCTGCTTACAAGCAGCAAGCAGAACCTGCTAAACTCAAAATCAATAAGAAAGTGCCGGGTTTCCAGTTTGACAGAAATCTCAATTTTCAAGACTCATAAGAAGAATTCACATATTAAACAAGTATTGGTGCAACAACGTTAGTAGTACTGAAAGTACAAGGACATGTGGGGGGAGTAAACCAAAAAAGTAATGGTATAAATGTCTACAAGTTAGTTGCCACCCCTACCTGCAACAATGAGGTGCGCTGTGCGACTCGAAATGGATCCTAGGTTTTCAATGGTGGCCACACACTGGTAAGTGCCCTCATCAGGTTTGTTGTGCTTTGAGTGAACCACATGGGTGAAGAGTAGGGAGCCGTCAGGGAGTATGCGCCGTCTCTCATCTGAAACCAGACTCATGAAGGTGCCATCTTTCTTCCATTCGATGCGTGCTGGTGCGGCTGCATCGCTGTGTGCAGAACAGTTGAGCAGCGCAGAGTTCCCCCGAATGGCCACTGTGTCCCGGGGCTCCACCGTGAACCAGAATGGACTGAAAGGCTGTGCTGCTGATGCTAGAGGGGAAAAAAGAAGACAGAATATTATGAGCTGGACAACGTCTCAAACTTTCTCATCATCACATGATCTATCATCTGGTTCAAATCTGCTTTGGTGAAAGTATTAAAAAAAAAAGAAAAAAAAAGTTTTGGATCGAAATATCTTTGTCAACCGCACAAGTCATGGGAAAATGACTGCTTGCTAAAATAAAAAAAAAGAAAGTTTGGAACTCCACGGCTGGTCATAAACACTAAAAGTTATGTTCCCAAAGCAACACATACAGAGACTTTTCATTTCGAAACCACGAGCCCCATTGAAATTGTATGGAAGGACCTGACAAATATTACTCAGACTAGCCTCCCCGGCAAGTTAATATCGCGCTTGTAAGCGGAGAGCGCAGTGAAGTTGTACAGACTTTGGAACGCAATTGCAATTTCCTTTCCTCGGGTATAGATGTTAACATCAAACTGAAATGGATCGTCAGAAAGTCTGAAGAAGTGCAATTGTTTTGCATTTGTACTCATCCATTATTCAGGCACCAGCACCTAAGAGTCACACAGTGGTATTGGTTAGACAAATAACAGCAATTGCCATTTCTGCAGGGATGAGGAGAGCCAGCAAATAATTAAGTGTGCATGGAGGTATTTTAATAATGCAGCGAATGGAGTGAAATAAGAGGTGGAATGTTAAACACAGTTTAAACTATGCCGGCTCTCATCTTAAGAAACCGCATGTCTCCAAGAGCAGGTGAGGGACACCCAGGGCGAGAGAGGAAGGAGAGAGGCTATGAGCGACATCAGTGCTTGAGCAATTGAACTTAAGTCCCCTCCCTACCTAGCGGCATCAACTCCCTTGTGTGAGCCAAAGCCAGAAGCTTGTAATGTGGGCGCCATTACGGACCAATATCAATGCTTGTCTTTAATGCACCGAGTTATCTTGAAAGCACAACTATGGGAAAAGTGCTTTAGAAAATGACTGGAGTCCATTATAATTTTTCACTTGTGCATTAGGGAATACATGCCAGGCAATTCAGTGCTCCCACTAACTAAAGCTGTGCAATCATTTCGATGCTCATTCGACAACGGAGGGGATGGAAGTGCCCCCATTCTTTTGAAATGAATGACTTGATTCCCAACCAGGGTGCCATAGCACACTCCTTTGCAAGGGAGGTTTTTCAATCGCACCTACTTTTTTTCTCCATTTAATATGTATTAAAAAGAAATAGATGTGTTCATCAATCTATGCCAGCGACAAAGTGACACTGCTTTTCTCGTAGATGGTAAAAGGCGCAGTAAACCCGCGTTATCCATCTGCTGGCAATCATACAACAGAATAAGTTGTGGCGTTCCTGCGAGGTGTGTTCAATGAAACCAGCCTAGAAGTCAATTTGTGAAAAATCAGTCAATCAACAATTAACAGTTGAACCTCAATTCTTTGGTACGTCGACTTAGTTTGAACAAAGACTCAAACTCGGATGTTTCAGTTTTTTTGCATTTTTGTTAATTTTGCATGTGTTGAAACAATGTTGGAATTATTGTAGATACCATGACCATTCAGAGAAAATCTGCACAGAAAATTACGTGTGTAATGTGTATTTGTTTCAAATTGTGTCAAACGTTACGAGAAGTTCATCTTGAAATATAATGACACAGAATTGTGAGTAAAAACTACAACCAAAGAAGACATTTTAGAGAGGTTTAAAATACTTGCAGGAACAAAAAGAAAAAACATTAATTAAAATTTCAGAAAATGCCGAATGTTTTGCAATTCAGCCGATTCACGTACAGTTGCACTAATTAAATATTTGTAGCCAAAGCTAAAAGCTAAAAAGTGTTGGTTCAGAAAGAGTGCAGGATTTTAAGCATTAGGATGAGCAAGTTGTAACAATATTACACCGACTCAAAGTACAATCTGTTCAGATCCAGCAGTGAGGGAGCACAGCACCCGCTTGCCTCTGAAAATTAGGAAACACCAGGACAGGCAACCAGTGAGAACGAGGGAGCAGAGAGCGTGAGGCCAGAAAATGAGGTTGTCTACTTGATAAGTATGGGCTGTTACCTCTGTCCCAAATCCACTTTGCTCTGTGTCATTAAAGGTTTCGGGAGCTCGGCTTAAGGTGATGCCATGATATCCTATATGGCGCTCTCGAGCCAAGGCTGTAATACTAAACATAAGCCCATGCTGGGAAATAACGGAGCAAAAGTACATTGGCGCATAACTCATCTAAGTGTCTTGTTTTCCACGGAACAGGCAAGAGCCATCCTTTTGGAAAAACACACTGAAGAGGAGAGGGATAAAGAGGGTGTGCTTGCACAAAGACTCTGTTTTGTTCCATCAGTGGCTCAGCAGGAAACCTCCTCCCTTTACTGAGACGCTGTCTGAGAGCAACCATATTGACTACCCTTCTTATTGAGCCACTCTTTCAGAATAGACCTCTTTCAAAACCAGTTGACTTTTCTTCACCAGAGTCCCCTCTGTGACCTGGGGTGGAAAACAAGGGCACGCTAGGCATCTTGGTAGAAACACTTCTTACGCACACAAAGCCAGTGCAGAATTGGAAGTGCAATTTAAAAGGCAATACAGTCGAGGTCTTTGCTTTTGTTACGAAGCATACTGTGGCCAGGGTTTTTCCTGGCTCAAATTGAGGCAGAGGTGCTACCATCCTGACCACGCGTCATGGCGTGCGTGCATTCTATTAATTCAATGGGCACACTTTCTTTTACAGGAAACATACTTTAACTTCAGAGTTAGAAGAAGAATATGACTATTATTAGGTTAAAGAATTTGTATATCAAAACTTGCATTGGAAAATGATGGCCACACGAGCTAGGAATCTAGCTTGTGTGGCCACTTTTGTTTGAGAGACACAGAGGATTTTGAAGCAGCCTTCATGTGCTCTGTGGTCCATGCCCACTTGGGCTGCAAAAGCAGGCTGCAGTATCTGCCGTAAAATAAATAACAAAACAGATTTCATACACTCATTCCCCGCTTCCCCCTCTGCTACGTCGACCGTCTCACATGCGAGAACGAGTTCAGTCGCCTCAACAGCGGTCAAGCCACTGTTTTATTTTTCTAACAAAGTTGGGTATGTGGAATCTTTATGCAAGCAAAGAAGCGATTCCTGGGAATTTAATTACTGGAAACCGGTTATCAACATTTTTGATTCCCAGCCCTACCAGTACACCACACAAAAATAAAAATAAGTGGCCTCCAGGCCACCCTGACAGCACTGTGGGCAGCTCCTTCAGCCAGAGACTGATACACCCGCGCTGCAAGAAGGAGAAATATTTCTCCATTGTGAGACAAATCAAGCTTTTATTGTCTTATCTTAAAGCCTTATCAGTTTCAAAACCTATGACACAGTTAATATAGTTGTATATTTTGACCAAAGCCGAACAAATGACTCCACGAATGGGAGATTGCACAGAAGGATGGCTTTCCTTATGTGTGTGAGTAGTTGACTGAGATCCGGGAGGGATTACGCAGTGGGGAAACCTCTCACCTGCTGTGGATGTGATAATTAACCAGCAATGATTGAGGCCTGAATCTGCCCTCTTATCAGCCTCCCCATGGGCCAACAGCGAAGGATCGCCCCACTGAGACAGCATTGCCAACTAACAGATGCAGAGCACACGCTCCTTTGCTAGCGTGAGAAAAATGCAGTGTTCCCCGTACATTATGACGACTTTAAACTGAACTTCAGTCAACCACTGAAAACCATTTGAATATTTCACACCGATTTTTGATAATAGACACATTGCCTTTAGCCCCAAAGCACTGCAGCAGCTTTTTAATGAGACAGAATTTGCTTCTGAATAGTTCGGGGAACTCTGGGGTGGGGGGGCAGCGGGAGGACTACGATTCCATTAAAAAAACTGCTTTGTTTCCCTCCAGCCCTGTGATTATCCAAGTCTTCAATGAGTTCATCCATCTGGGGACACTGTTATGTACCTACAAATGGGGGGAGGGGGGGGGCGCGTCCAGGAAGTAGTCAACATGCTGGACAGATTGAGCCACGTTCCTCCTCTCACCAAATGAGATAGTCATCTGAGACAGGAACTGACATTCATCTTTGGCCATACTAGCTACACTACCCTCGGCCCACCACCGCCACCACCATGATACGAAAGAAAATTGTGTGGTTGTAAAGAGATAGTCTATGGATTTTTTTTTTTAAATGAAACCCCCATAGAGTGCTCTCCAGCCCCTGTTTTTTGCAACCATATTCACTCTTCAAAACATAAAAGAAAATCAATAACATTCAGAATTTCCTGCAAATCGAAACGCAGCAATTTATAAGCAATGGATTCAGAAATTATGATTTATCCCATTTTGGCCTCGTCATAAAAAGGAAGAGTTTTTGAGTGTGATCTACTGTACAGTAGCGGTCACCTGTCGTCAAATATGTGCGTGTTGCCGTGTAACAGGTCAATTCATTTGTTCAGTGCAAGCGCTTCTGGAAGTTGAAAGGGCATGAAATCAGGTAAACATTTATACAGTGGACCAACACTGTCAATACTAATTACAGAATCAGTTATTGACAAGAAAGTGCTTTCTATCCGAACCCAGGCTGCAACTGTCTATATTTAGCCTGTAATGCATCATTGCCCTCTCTTGAAGACACAGACACAAGCCACTTTTTTATAAAATCGTGAGATGGAAAAGCATTATTGAATTGTATGCCACGAGAGAAAACCAGAGGAAATTGTTGACTATCTGGACATGGCCTGTGATGGATGTAAATATAAATTCCCACGCTGGGACAGCACTTTTCAGATAAGATGATTAGCTCCTTCTAAACGCAACGTGAAGGGACTTCTTCATTGCTCGTTTGGGTTATTTTGCAGTGCGTAAACAGCTTCAAAGTGCTTGATGGGGAGGCGCAGATAAGAGAGGAGCAGGTCTCTGCATGCTCAAAGCCTTTTGGGGGAAATCATTCAACACCGTCAAACAAGAGATCAAAGAAGGTAAAAATATTCTGGGAGGGAGACTTAATGACTATTTTACCTGAAATCGG